GCACACTTTTCATTGTCAACTCTTCCCCCATCCCCTCACTCAGGTTGATTGTTGGTCGTTTTCTCGGCGAATTGCGGATGCCGCCGGCCTCTCTGTAGAGCATGACTGAGGCCACCGAACGCACTATCATCTGAGGTACACACATGAGGGCACACAGGGCATCCACATCCATATATGTACAGCCAAATATGGATATGTATACATACATACATGCTGTGTTTGCTCTGTGCTGCTGTGTGGTGTGCTGCGGTGTGCAGGTGTGTGGTGTGTAGTTCTGTCGTGGTGGAGATGAACGAGGATCCTCCACTCGCACCACGGCGCAACCTGCAACGCGCCAAGGAGGGCAAGCCACCCCTCTCCTCCTTCACGCGCAACGGCACGTCTGCCGCCATGCGGCGGTTCCCCTCCCTCTACCCGAAGGTCGAGAAGCAGCACCGCCGCCCCAGCAACCCGCACTCGTCAGTCGGGAGCCTCGACTTCCTCAAGGACGGGCAGGTGCTCGACGGCGGATGGGCGGCCACTCTCCAGCGAGCGAGAGAGGGGGGCGACCCACAGCTGTACAGGGACCTGTCCTCCCTCTTCTCCGTCTTCAACAACGGGGAGAAGAAGATGTGGGCATTGTTCGGCCGTCCCTGCCCACGCGGGTCGAAGCTCGTCCCGGTCCAGCCCTCTCAGCTGCACGGCGATGGGGTGGTGATGGAGGGAAAGGTCAGACGCATCGCCCCGTCCGCCAGCGCCCATGACGCCGTGATCCTAGCCAGGTGGTTCTTACGCCATTCGGCTCTGCCGAATGCCGAGGGCCAGGCGGCTCAGCCCGCCCCGCCATGAGCGTGACGCTCATGTGGAGCCGCGACAGGCTGGACAAGATCAAGCGTGACGAGGAGCGGCGGGCGCTGCTGGGCAGTGATGATGCGATCGTCGACGCCACTGCAGTGTGGTCGGCCGTCGTCATCAACGGAGAGGGCGGGGCGGGCGAGGCGGGCGGGGATGGTGGGGAAGTAGCCGGGCTCGTCGGTAGGCTACTGAACAGCACGCGATGCCTCGAGGGCCGGACGATTAGGTTGAAGAACGGCAGCGATCAGACGGTCATTCACACCATCCTGACACACACACACACACATCACCACTGTCAGACCATCACCCTTGTGTCTGTGTCTGTCTGTGTCTGTGTCTGTGTCTGTATGTGTGTGTGCAGATGCGGCTGGTTGTCACACCTGAGAAGCCCTTGGTCATCAAAGTCTCGCCCCTGCGCCTCACCCAACCCATCGTCGAGCTCAACTTCCACTATCATGTCGAGTATGTGCAGGTCGACGCGCTGGCTGCGGCAGCTGATGCCATGGAGGACCAAGACGAGGGTCAGGAGGATGAGGAGGCCGATGGGGAGGGAGAGGATCCTCAGGCTGACGAGGAAGTGCCCGCCTTCATGGGCGCGCACATGCCGGAGGGAGAGGTGGATCCTAGAGAGCAAGAGATGCTGGCAGCCGCGAACCAGAACCAAGAGATGATAGATGGGGATGGTTGAGGCCTGGTTGGGTGGGTGGGCGGATGGGTGGCGACTGATTGGACGTCCGTACGTGTCCATCCATGCATGGATTTCATGACGTGTGGATTCATGACGCTGTACAGATATGTGTGTGAGTCAATCCATCCGCTCAACGGATCAATTAGCCACTCACTCGGTCACTCACTCAATCACAAACACAAATTACACTCAGATGGCCTGTCTATCACTAGATGTGGATGATTGATGGTAGGTGGGTGGGACGCGTTGATTTCATGACGTGTTGATTGCATGACGTGTTGATTGCATCCATCGCTGTACAGACATGTGCACAAGGTCAATCACAATGGGTGTGAGTCAATTCATTCGCTCAACGGCTCAATCAGCCACTGACTCACTCACTCACTCGCCAACACACATGACACTCAAACAAGGCCTGTCGAACTCCTCACTCATCGATCCGTGGCACCCTTGGCGCCCTTGACCTTAGCCTTTGCCTTGGCCTTGGTCTTGATCTTAGCCATTGCCTTGGCCTTGGCCTTGGCAGCGGCCTGGTCTGCTGCCCGTTGCTCGAGTTCCTGGCGCGACCGAGAAAAGTCACCCCTCTCATACAACTGTCGGGCGGTGTCGAGCCGCTCGGCCCACCACTCAGCAGTGGGCTCCGTCATGCCGCCCTGATGCACGCCTTGTGGGTTGCGGCTCCGCCTCTCGATGACGAACCTCCTGAGGCGCGGGAGCGGCTTGTCGTACTCGTCTTGGGGCAGCATCCTTGTGCTCTTCTTGCTGGCCGCGTTGCAAAACACCCACTGCTCGATTCGCCCCTTGGAGGCGAGCAGCAGACGAGAGGCGGACTGAGAGATGGCGGCGACGGGAAGGGTGGTCTTGTCACTTGTTCCGCCGCCCTTCATCGTCTGTCGCTCGAATATCTCGTGCAGCTGGTGGTTCATGGACTCATGGGCGTTCATGTTGCTCGACACACCGATGGGCTTGCGGCTGTGATGACGGCACCATACAAGGAGTGGCACATGAGGAGGTGGAAGGACGGCTGGCTAAAGATGTCGCCCCAACCGAGGCTGACAAACACACAAGCAGCACACATACATGGGTTGATTGAATGGAGCTGCTGACGCCTCACCTCTCGACAGCTGCCATCCTGATCTGCCAGATAGCCGTCCGGAACAGCGCCTGCTGCTTCTCCGTCGACTTGCAAGACCGCAGAAGGAAGGGCCACACCCAAGCGTAGCTCTCGAGAAGCACATGGAAGCTGCTGGTCCTCGACTCGTCCAACTGCTCGAAGAGCTCCATGAACGACACCATGTCGTCCACCCACCTCTTGATGTCGCGGGCATGCAGGCGCCCGTTCAAAAGCTCCAGCACCAGGGTCGTCTCGCCCAGAATGGCCTTGTTCTCGGCCGCCTCGCGTGCCATGGCGGCCGGGTCCATCTCGTCGAAGAGATCATCATCCACGAACTCGAGCAGGTCAGCCCGAGGGTTGGCCGTTGCTCCAGCTGGGTTGACGGTGGCCGCTGCATCAATCACGCAGACCGAGAATGAGAAATGACGGGTGCGTGCGGCTTCCTTTTTGTGGTGTGTCTGACGTGGGTGCGTCTTGCAGATGACAGGTAGAAATCGCACTTGGATCCCCCGCTCGTCCAACCACTCTGAGAGTCCAGACATGAAAACAAAACCAGCAACCGTTGTTGGACTCGCTGATGGCGGCCCGTTGCTTCATTGCCGCGACTGTGCGGGTGGGAGGGCGTGCGACGGCCGCGATTGGGTCGATGGGAGAGCCGAGGTAATGGAGGGCGAGCAGCTCACTGTTGTAGTGGTCCTTGTGAGTGAAGCAAAACTGGCAACCGAAGTTGCCAGACGGCCCGACGTGGCCCATCTGGATCGAGTGAAACTTCTGCACACACTACACACAGCACACAGACACACGTACACAGTGACTCACAGTGAGTGGAATGGGTGACTGTCTTACCTGGTCAGACGTTGCGCAGAAATGAAATCTGAGACGATAGGTGCGCCCGTTGATGGTCAGCTCCACTCCCTCCTTCATCCTCCTGAGTGCACTGTTGAGCCGCGCCTTGTAGGGCAGCAGAGACTCCCACTTCTCGCTGCCGTAAACCAGCAGACAGGGAAAGACCGCCTCGAACGAGTTGGCGGAAAACTGGGGCTCCGGCTTCTCACGGCTGACCTCACTTGGCAGCAAGCGAATGGCGAGTGTCACAGCCTGTGGAAGAGACAAACAACACACAGAAACAACAAACAAAGTGAGCAAACCTGTGCGTTGTGCCTGCTTCTCGCAAAGATGCTGCCGTCGCCTGAGAAGCACGCGTCCAAGTCGATCGTCGGTGGCTCGCGGCTGCCGCGAGGTCTCTTCGGCAGAGTGATGCCGAGACACTCCGAAAGGATGGCTGGATGGTCAGTGAACAAGCGGAAGAACATGTCGGCAGGATCGACCCATGTGTTGCCGAAGGACTTGCCCTTCTCCTTCGGCGGCACATAGAACTCCAGCGTGTTTGGGTCAGGGAGACGTCCGAGCTGTCGGTGAGCCTCATCGTCGCCCATGTCGGCAGCACCGACCGCCTGCTCATCCTTCACCACGATCTTCAACAGGCTGTCCATCTCCCCCCTCACGACCTTCTCGCTCGGCACGATGGAGGGCCGCGTGAAGTCTCGAAACCACCGCCTTCGCTGATGATCGAAGCGGCCGGTGAGGATGTTGCGGAAGACCTGTGTCTTCTTCTGGCTGCTCTTGGTCGCGAGAGTCACCGACTTCCAGACGCTCCATGGCACCTGCCATGTGTGGTCGGCGTAAAGCACGGCCAGCTTGTTGAAGCCCGCCTCCAGTGCCTTCAGCCGTGTCGAGGTGGACACCAGCCGCCCGGCGTGCCGCTCCTGATACACCGTCCACAGTCGACGCATAAAGTCCTGGAAACCCTCCGCCGGCATCCAGAACAAGAAGTCGACCAGGGCAGACACGATCCCGTCGACTGAGTTGTCAAGGGATATCTGATCACTCATCCATCCACCCTCAGGGGGCGCGGCAGCAGCCCCCTCGCCGCCTCCCTCGCCGTCCCTCTCAAGCCACGGCAGCTGGGCGGAAGGGTCGAACACACACGGGATAATCTCCGCCAACATGTGACTCTTCATCCCTGTCGCTTTCGTCCTCTTCCGCCTCGCCCTCGTCAGAGTCGTAGAATAGGTCGACCGAGTGCACAGAAGGGCCGGCAGGCCGGGGCTGGCGGGCTGCTGCTGCTGCTGCTGCTGGCGGTGGTGATGGTGGGGGAGACAGCAGCGGTGGTGGTGGTGGTGGGGGAGAGGCAGGAGATTGCAGCGGACGCGAGAAACGGGACCTCTCCGGAGATGCAGCTGCTGGTGGTGGGGGGTTCGATCGACGCAGAGGAGACGCCAATGCGGCCGGCTGCGGATGGACAGCCCAGGGAGGAGGGGAAGGGAGGCGTCTGGCAGCCGGCGCCGCGGCTGACGGACGGGCCGGGGCAGCCTTGGGCATGACGACAGAGGCAGCAGCAGCAGCAGCGGCTGCCGGTGGGGGAGGATCTTCGTCCATTGGCTGAGGCGATAGGGGCGGAGATCGGCCTCGGGCAGCAGCAGCAGCCGCAGCGACGTCCCTCCCCTTGTCCCGCTCAGGAGACGGCACTTTCCTCAGTGGACTGGAAATCTGCGGGAAAGCTGGATCGAGGGCAGGAGACCTCGCCTTTCTCTTGGGCTGGCGAGATGGGTGTGCGGCGACGGCCGGCAGACGAGAAGCACGTCTCCTCGACGGGCGGTGGCTGTCATCGTCGTCACCACTGTCACGTCTCCTGCGCCGCGATGGTGCTGGTGGGATGGCTGGGATCTTCGAGCTGTACTGGGCGTGGTTGGACAAGAGGAGGTCCTCCAGCCCCAGCGACCGCAGCAGTGGGAAGGGCTCATCGCTCTCCAGTGCCATCAGGACCTCATGCTCGATCACTCCTCTATCAAGACGCAGGGCGGAGGGGTGGCTGGCGACGGGATCGATACCCAAGTCAGGCACACACCGGTGGGCCTCGTCGACAAGCTGCTGGAGCTCATCAGTTGAGAGGCTGCGTGGAAGAGTGGATCTGGCAGATTCGTCCATGGTGGGAACAAACCGCAGATAGACGGCTCGATGCCGCTTCAGCCAATCTCCCAGCCCATGGCCATATCGCCGGATACCAACCCACCCAGACAGCAGCATGTTGTCCAGTGTGGAGTCAGCCGCTCGGCCCGTCAGCTGTTTCTTCATGTCGTCAGACAGGGCTCGCGGGATGCTGACTGTCACCATGTCTCCATTCTTCTTCAGAACCGTCACGTCCCTCGTGCCGTCAGCTCTGGGGCGGTGCAGGTATTGCTGGGCCTCCATAGCGAGTGATGAACGATCAACAAAGTAACTGAAGCGATGGCAACAGCCACCACCGCGTGAGCCACCACGACAGAACTACACACCACACACCTGCACACCTGCACACCGCAGCACACCACACAGCAGCACAGAGCAAACACAGTATGTATGTATGTATACATATCCATATTTGGCTGTACATATATAGATGTGGATGCCCTGTGTGCCCTCATGTGTGTACCTCAGATGATAGTGCGTTCGGTGGCCTCAGTCATGCTCTACAGAGAGGCCGGCGGCATCTGCAATTCGCCGAGAAAACGACCAACAATCAACCTGAGTGAGGGGATGGGGGAAGAGTTGACAATGAAAAGTGTGC